TATAGATCCCGCCTTCCTCTTTCATAGCCCAAAAGTACACCTTTCTAGACCTAGAAAAGCCAAGTATAGCAAGACTAAGCGAATTCCTACTAACAATTACATAAAGAGGCAAATAATTCTCATACGGCATCAAGACGAAATTACAATGCAACTCGCGATCTGTACAAACCCTACCAAGATAGCATTAAAAATGATCACCGGACATTTGTGGCCGCTGACTTGTATAGCGGCAAGCAGGAGGACTTCGAAGACTCAAAAGTAGTGAGAAATCTATATATATATATATATCGGTCAGAATTCCTTAAAATAAGCTTAAATATTGTCAGGGAAAATCCCTGAAATCAGAGGACTACATCATACAGCCATCAAATAGCCTCAGATATGAAATTTTGGATCAGGAAACCGTCAAACAAACATCTAAGAGTATAAGTATTTGCTTTCACACGTGCATACATATTAACTCTGGACCTGAAAATTACCGAAATCGGAAACCTTCATAAGAAATCCTCCTCCCACCAATTTTTCAGATATGAGAAATGCTACTGAGACATAGAAGAAAATACCATAAATTTGATAATGAATCATGAGAGCCTGTCTGGTTCCAGCCAACTGCATATAGTGTAGTAAAAAGAGTTCGATTTTTTTTGTATCTATTGCTAAACCATGTTTTGTGCTCTTGAGCAATCAAAACATGATGATCGGACTCGATAATGTCCATGATTTTATCGACACTTTCAACAATGGGCCATCCACGCCGCGAAGCATCTTTTACATCAAAATTACCGGAATGAAACAGAAAATTTGAATAATTGACTGTAACAGTATCAGGACCATCACATTTTCAGCTTATTTACTTGCGTCTTCGCCTCTCTCGAATAAAAACTGTAAAATATAGCGTATTCTCTCTTTGCTAGTGTCCATCTTTAAGGCAAGCTCAAACGAAACCGCATCAACCAATCACAAAACTGTCTGAAAATCTTTCTTAGCACGAAATGTTATCTTTCCAACTCGATCTAGCGGAACCCGATCGGCCGTATACAACGCGAGATAGAGATAAATAACGCCATCTATTAGAAAAATAATGGATTTCTTTTTACTGCTCCAATATATTTATTTAACTTTACTCTCTTTACTGTCGAAGGGATCCCGTTTCCATTTCAAATTTTTCTCATATATCTCTCCTTAAAATCTCCGCTTTTGTGCTAAGCTTCGATTGAATATTGTTGCATTAAAACAATGTTTTAATTGTTTTATAAATAAATAATTTTCATTTGAAGAAAATTTTCGCGCTGGGTGTTTTGGCAAAAGTGCTTCTGACAAATTGCATTAATATCCCACCCCAGATATGCACACAAAAAACTCGGCAACGCACATATTCTGCCATCTAGAGCCTTGTCGTGTGCCATCGTTTACCACTTCTTACATTAGCACACATGCCCTTTGAGCTACCGTCTCATCCCCCCTCCTTCGTTCTACAGCTTTCACACAGTGTTGTAGTTTTTTCTAGCTGACGACGGGCGGTAATTTGTCACATTTGCGCTTCATATGTGACATTTATATATATTTATATATATATATATATAGGCTCGTATTTGTTTAACTAAATTCAGTTTGAATTCGCAAATTCTTACATACATACATTCATACACTCATTTCACACATTTTGCTCATAAAATCAATGTAATTTTTCACTTTTTTCCCACCTGTGAAAAGTGTAATGTACTCTTAATTGTATATACATATGTATTTATGTATATATTTATGAATGTACCACCTATTAGTGAGAGCGCACTATGTGTGCCATGCACATACATATATGCGTGTATGTATATAAATGTCTGTGTATTGAATTAATGCTTTATTGTGACATTATTCAATATGTCAAAGAGCAAACTCATATGAATCGGATTAGTTAAATTCCATTAAGAATGAAAATGTAAGATCTACAAAATGTTGAGCCGCAGAAATGAAGACATCAATGAAGCGAAAATATTTGATTAAAAATCACAAAAATACGCATCGATTGATGTATGTAACGCCTATTGATATGCATCTTCATCTTGATATGTCTCTACATATGTATGTATGTATTTATAAGTATGTACGAGTATGCTCGCACGTGTAAGTATATGTTTTTGTAGCGTTGTGGCGTCGTATAGACTACTCTTTTAACGCATATAAAGCTAAGCTGGTCGAGAATAGATACTCGGCAATGTATGTATGTATATCCGCAAGTGCACTTAAGAATGTATTTTGTGTATTCACCTAATCTTCCGGTGCATTTCATCATTCAGATACTTTTACATATCCGCTTAGTGCTGTGTAATGATACTTGTACATAATATTGCGTTCCCTGGTGTGTTGAAATGCTCTTTTAAAAAATTTATATATCACATATACATATACATATGTTCCTATTGTAAATGCATATTTTATTTCAGAAAGTATTTAAATATCGTTTGATGTTCATTTCTAACGTAAAAATGTTTAGGCCTTTTCTCTCGCACCTGATAAATTTATTTCAACATTTTGATAATTCAAATCGTTACTTATATCTATGTAATAAAAACCAGGTTTTCAAATTCACATGTGGTAAAATAATAGACAAAGAAAGAATATTTTTCTGAGTACTTTTCTAGTAAAAAATAAAAATCTATTCAAAGTTGCAACGGTTGCAGCAGTGGCGACGCCTGTGGATGTGGAAGCACTACACCTACCGACGGCCACTTCAGCTGCCCTAGATCTTGCGGCGTGAACGATGTGGTTGTTGGTCTATTAGCTTCATAAATAGAGCAAATCTAGGACCGGCACCACTTCTGCGGTTTTGCGATCATTTACCGCTTTGTATGTGGTAAGGTGTGCATCTTTGATTAAGCAGGCATAGCTATTTACATACACGTATATCACTTTTTCACTTATATTTTACATAGAAACATTTTTTTCCAATTGGCGCTTTGTAACCGCTGAATCTAACCGCGCTTCGGGTTCGATTTGTGGTATGCGTGTGACGACAACGGAAAGCTTGACACTCCCTGCCGAGGAGAAACCAAAATTTGAAAAACTTATTTTCTAATAATTTAGATTTTGGTCGAACCAGAACGCGAGCTATAGCCCTCCGAACGGTATTAAGCAATGCTAACCACTCGGATATTGAGGCCGTCATAATAGTAAAAATCAATCCCTTATTTGTATTTTAAATTGAATGCTTAACTTGTCATAGTTAGAATTATACGATTTACGTCCGAAATATGCACCGTTTCGCAATTTTTTCAGCTTTTTCAACGGTAATTTCATTATGTCTGTCTAACAGAAACTTGTTTGGCAAAAAAATTGGCACAAACAATTTTCACAGGCTTCTCTTGAGGTCAACTCTACACCGTCAAATCATCCACCCATAGTGTAGATAGGAACAATTTATGATCACTTAGTGCCAGATACGCACTGCAAGGTTGATGCATAAGAACCTCGAGCTCTTGGAGCTTCTGACAAGTCGCTATTGATATATATGGTCTGACGTTGCCCTGATGAAACATAATTGTTCTCCTTTTGGCAAAAACTGCGTGCTTCTAGACGATTGCTTCTCTCAGATGGTCAAATTTCTGGCAGTACAGGTCTGTATTCAGAGTTTGGTTATAAGGGAGGGGCTCCTATTGGGATATTAGCATCAGTTGTTGGATTTGAACCCTAGCTTTCCGAGTTTCAGTACGCGGTGCTAACCCTAACTCGGCTACTGTAGCCGACAACTTAACGAAAAAGAAGTGCTGAAAAATATTCAACGCGCCCAGTTTAAATGACAATTTCTGGAAACTTTCTGGTCTTAATGTATTGTAGAATTGGTTCGGCAAAGGTTTTGAAATTTTGTGTGATAGACTTTTATACCAAACTTTTGTAGAAGGCTTTTGCTGCATCAAGCAATATTGCTCAGCAATACTCTTTGAACTCGAATCTCATTTCATTAGTAATTCGATTGACTTGTTCTTCACCAGAGATTTTGAAGCTGTAGACGAATACGTTTTTCTAGGAACCATTGCATTGACACCAATAACAATATCAGCCTGGAAATCCAAAGCGGAATCGCGCTTGCCAGCAGGTGCTACTTTGGACTGAGTAGGTGTTTGAAAAGTAAAATCCTCTCTCGACGAACAAATACCAAACCTTCACACAGAAGCCGTGTGAGATGTACGACGTTCATATAGTTCAGCGTTTTAAGGGACAACAGCTAGCAGCAGGCTTGCTCATATCGTAAGTTTTGATTAAAATGCTGCAACCCTGAGAGTAAGAGAGTAAATCAAGGAAAGGAAATACACCTGCACTTCGTTTTTGGAATCAGATTTGTGTTGGTGTTTCCAATTGGTGCCTAGCATGCTCTCGGCTTTCGTCCAAATAGAAGAAGAGAACAGACTATATCCAGCTTCACTTTAATAGATGTTTTGCGGAAGAGAAGGGGCACTAACGGTGTATACTAAATCTAAGTAGTAGTAGGAACCAGCTGACAGGTTGGTCAAATCAGAAGCATTGCTTATTGATCCAAAGAAAAACACACTAATGCGCAGCAATAGATTGTGACAGCAGAAACAACTACCTATGGAGATCGCAGGTCTAAGAAAGTGTAAGCTTTAGCATAGAAATCTGAATGTTCTCACACCAATCACAAGAGTGCCTACTAACAACCAAATACGATCTTTGGATAAATCTTAATTTCATGTCACCTTCATGTAGTTTCCTCGACATTTGTTGCTTGCCAAATAAATCGTGCACACGATATGTATAAGACTTGTGTAGTTAATGTATTTATAGCTCACTTCATTTTCAAATTTTATGGAAATGTACTTAAGAGCTGACCACTTACACATTGCAAAAGTAATTGCACGTAAATTACCGCCATCGATTTGTACCTAATTTATTTCTGCAATTTGCGATAAGATTAAATCCCTTTGTTTAGTTTAATATAAAAGGGAATTACGCTGGATTAAAATTAACAAAACTAAAAGCTCGTTCATCTGAAAAGCATACTAAAAAGGATTTTATGCCATAAACAATTTATAGGACTCTTGAAGTAGTACAATTTGGAGCAAGATGTTGAGAAATCTATTGGCACTGACACTGGTCTTTGCATTGACGACCGCTACCGACGTTAAACAATGTAAGGTTTTATAGAAAATATACTTTTTTTTGTCTAACAATTGATTTAATTTTATTTAACTGCAGGTTCCGGCAATAAGCCATTTCCCCTGGCTGTGCGCGTATTGAATTGTGAAACACCGCCTTGTGATGTCATCAAGGGCAGAGATATGACATTTGAAATTGATTTCTACGTCAGTGAGTGTCGCCTATCACCTATTAGTTGCGTCTTCTTTTGCTTTATTTTCCAATATTTTTGCAGCAAAATATGTCACCAAACTGACCACTTTAGTGAAGGCTACCAGTTTGGGTGTGACCGTACCGTATGACTTGCCATCGGATGTGAAGGATGTCTGCTCGAATCTAATGCACGAAGCCTACTGTCCACTCTATGACACCGAGGATGTCACATATCTCTTTGTATTCCCCATTGGAAATTATCCTGAGGTTAGTGTTAAGGTGGAAATATATCTCGTCGATCAGGATAATGAAGTGGCCACTTGTTTTGTGTGTAGTATTAAGGTCAAAAAGGCGCCGTCTGCCAATAGCACAGTTTATGAAATTGATTTTTAATGTTAACTAGTAGTTGGACTCGTTATTTTACTGTGATAAGTTGGATTTATATATTTTATAAGCATACATAAGCGTTAATAAATTTATTTCCAAACTATATTTAAAACTTTGAATTTTAATTTTAATTTAAACAGCGATTTCAAAAGATTACTGCGAATTTGTTTAGAGTTCACTTTTCGAAAACAGTCTTGTCAATCTTTTCTTTTCGTTAGACCTATATCGATTTAAAGAAATCTTTTTCTAGCCGCTCAAATTAGCTCAACCTTTTCATCTACAATATTTAAGGGCAATGAAAGCGGTGCAAAATTTGCTTTGTTTCTTGCATGCGAAGTGTTCAAAAATCGTTTTCTAAATTTCTATAAAATCAAAAAAGCAACTTACACTTCATGTTTGTGGAAATCAGTACCACAATAGAAGTCATCTTAGCTCTGCTTCAAGTTAATGCTTCTACAAAATGGTTTTGTAACTTAGCTGTGAAAATCTTCGAAAGCTCAGGCTTTAAAAATGTGGAGCTTTCATGTTAAAAAGCATCAATTTTATGTTTATAGTCGTCCAGAACTCTCTATCGACACGGGTATTTGTTATTCAGCAAAGAAAAATCGTTGTGATGACCAGATATTTATGTATGCAGTATTGAATGTATGCTGGTTGCACTACTGACCTGGTTTGATCAGCATTCAAATTTGTATGCAATTCAATTTCGTATTTGTTAAAAAAACATCAAAAAAATTTATTCCGATATGATCAGAGTGATGAGTGAATCGACGGTAATTTCGATGTCAATGATGGACCACGCGTCGGGAGGCCTGCCGTCTTAAATTGCGATAAAATACTGGAAATAGTGAAAACAGACCGTCACGTTAGCATTTATTTAATTTCTGAGGAACTAAAGATAAGCCAGAAAACAGCTTGGAAGCATTTCCATAACCTTGGATTCAAAAAGAAGCTCGATGTTTGGGTGCCACACGAACTAACGCAAAAACACATGATGGACCGAGTTTCCATCTGCGAATCGCTGCTGAATCGCAACAAAATCGACCCATTTCTGAAGCGGATTGTGACTGGCGATGAAAAAACGACAACATCGAGCGCAAAGGTCATGGCCAAAGTTCGGGCAAGCGGCCCAGACGGTGGCCAAGACCGCATTGACGACCAGGAAGGTTTTGCTGTGTGTTTGTTGGGATTAGCAAGGAATCATCTACTACGAGCTGCTCCCCTATGGCCAAACGCTCAATTCGGCCATATACTGCCAGCAAATGGCCCGCTTGAAGGCAGCACTCAACCAGAAGAGGCAATCTTTGATCAACAGAGGCCGAATTGTGTTTCATCAGGACAACGTCTTTGGTGACGTGCCAGAAACTCTAGTAGTTCGGATGGGAGGTCCTAATGCACCCATCTTATAGTCCAGACCTGGCACCAAGTGATCACCATCTTTTCCTGTCCATGGTGAACGCGCTTAATGGTGAGAAGTTGGCCTCAAGATAGGCCAATGAGAATTGGCTCTCCGAGTTTTTTTTGCCAATATGGACGCAGCCTTCTATAGGTGTAATGAAGTTGGCATCTCGTTGGCAACAAGTTTACGAAGAAAACGGCGCAGATTTGACTTATATCGTTCAAATGTACACAAAGTTTGAAAAACCAATAAAAAAAAAACCCAATGAATCTTTATACTACTTTCAGTATCAGCTGTTAAATAAATATTTCATTATTCTCTCAGATTGTCAAGTATTGCTTACTTCTAAGTTTATTTAGTAGAACAAAATAAGTGGAATATATGTACTCGTATATGGTAAATTAAATTGTTGGAATTTAAAAATAGTTATTTACTAAAAGATTTATTAGTTTAAACCTCGTCCGGACTCCTGGGTCTGACAGGGCCTTTTTCAATTTTACGCATTAATTTAATATAGTTCTGATTTAGCTACCGAGCTGAAAATCCAGACATCTTCCTCAAATTTTATGAAGGATGAAAAATTACTTTGACGGACGCTTTTGGACGGACATTTCGGGACTGGCTGGATCATATATTATATGACTTGCATTTTTTCTACCTTTTCATTTTAATTATATAAACAGTTGTCTTTTATGTCGACTACACCTACCAGTTCGAGTTCATGGGTGACTAGTCGTATCCATCAACACAATATCATGCATATGTGAGCAGAACCAAAAGTTCAAACGATTTTTCCAATCGAGTTGTTCAGGAAGTTTTTTGCTCAAAACATTACATTTACATATTATTATTGTGGAAACAAATCGATATGCAAGTGAACAATTCGGATTCAAAACAAAAAGATTGGGTTGATTTGATCAGCACTGAACTCGATGCTTTCATTGGGATTCTTTTCCTCGCCGTGGTTACACACAGCAATATGCAAGAGTAGAATCAGTATTGTGGCGTTCAGATTCAGATGAGTTTTATTTGCCTGTACTAACCGGGTCTGCCAACAATATGCCAAGTTAGCATACCACGAAATTATTCTAACAAACCCGACAGTTTCTGTTATGAGTGTGAAGAATTAACTTTCACATCCCAGTGCTATTTACGCAATTTTCGATTGCCTGCGAGGAATCAAAATAGATCTTTTGTTCTACAAAAATGTTGTGTAATGCGTGTGCGACTTCTTTGGGCTAAACAACAACCTAGACATTTGTTATTTGCTATACAAATGATTTGGACGGAACCGAAGGATCCGGTAAGAGTTTGTTATTTTTGTTTTGCGAAAACAAAAGGTATAACAAAAATATATTATCTAAACTTGTCTTCAACCAAAAGACCCATCATCATACTTGGTGCCAACTTTCCTGTGTCAAGATCTCCAAATCGATCAAAAAGACCGTATTAGTGAGAGATTTTTAACAGGTCAGTACGATACGATATCTCAGGATAGGAACCCATGTTATGAAATATCAACTTGAAAAGCACTGCACTTTTTTTTTGTTTGACACAAAGTGATTTCAACTTTAGAAGTGATTTCTATCTATAGATTAAGGGGAGAACCTGGTTTAGAACGCTGAAAATTGAATGATATTCGGCAGAGTGTTTTACGTTGCCTTACGTATGAAATGTTTCAAGTACTTTTGAAGTAGGTCATAGATACACAAATCTTACAAAAAAAAAATTACTTTCACTTTATTTGATACTGTTGAGCAATAACAATTCGTATTTGTTTGTGGCACTTCTCGCTCGAAGAGTCTATTTTGTGAACACGATAGCGATCGTAGTTTTCATCTGAAACATAAAACGAATATTTTTTTTTGTAGCTTAGGAGTTGCTATTCTATGTGAACCTAAGATTTTCGAAGAAATGTATAAAAATTTTTATTTAATGACTGTGTAAATAAAAATAAAAAAAAAATTTTAAGATAATCTAATTAAAAAAGTTAATAAAAAAAATTGTTTATTGTGATTTTTTAGGTTCACATAGAAGCCTACACTATTGGCTGTAAAAAAGGTATCACTTATGGAAATGCAACAATTACAACTCTTGAGAAAATCGTGTTGAAAGTTCTCCCCCCGTTTATCAGTCTCTTGAGCGCATTGTCTCTCAGAGGCCATTTCTGCGGAACTACTAGGAATTTGACTCTGAAATTTTGTGGAAATATTTCTGAATATATTTCTAATCGAATGAGATAAGTTTCAAAAATCGATTTTTTTGACCCTCTAAACCAGGTTCCCCCCTTAAAGGACTAGAATTCGCTTTTCCCTTATACAATTTTTTTTTTATTTTCGATACCGTGCCAATGGAATAAAATCGTACTTTTCTAAGGCAGGTGATTTGATATGTAATTATTTGGGGTGTAATATGTCATTAAAAACACATGCGGAACATTCATTTGCAGAGTTATAACTGCTATAAGAAATATGTAAAAAAATTGGACAGAAACTGTTATTTTGTAAAAATAAATTTTTTCACTTTCGAGCTATGATTGTTATATATTTTTATTTTTTTACGTTGCCTCATAAAAATTATTCTCTACGAAAATTTTTTCTCTTTGCCCATTATAGTAAAGTTCACGAATAATTAAAATTAAATCATATTTGTGTTCATACGAAAATACAACGCGTTTCCTATAACTCGGAGGCAATCTACGGTGTTGGAAGGGGATTATTACAATCAGTATGACAAAGGATTTTAGAGTTTTCCCATTTCAAATAGGTTAAAATAAAACGTAGGTAAAAAAGCGTAAACAAATTCCTTCCAATAATACATCTAACAATCAATAAGGGTCATGGGCAACGTTAAAAAATATTCATTGAAAATTGTTATGAAGAAACGTAAAAAGTATTCCCTAAACTAAGGGCAACGTGTTCGATCACGAAATAAAAAAATAACAATTATTTTTGGTCTCTGTTCATTTGGATTTCATTCCGGCCTTTGGGGCGCTGTGAGTGACAAATAAGTTGAGAGGTTCCATTAGGACATTTCCTTAATGGAAAAGCGTTACCAAGGAGAATGGAGTTCAGCGTTACTAGTTGTCGACTTAAAAGGGACCTACTGAAAGCCGAATATTCATTCAAATATTAAGTATTTATTATAAATCGAGTAATAAAAATTTTCTTAATGTAGATTAATAATAAAAAAAAAAAATATTTTTCAAACACCATAAAACCTGATGTGTACTTATATTTACATTGATGGATATTATTGTTTGTTTTGTAATACTTTCAAAATTAGTTATAAGCTTCCCTGAGACAAAAAAGTTTCAATTTCGTTAACCACTGTTATCGTTCGGAAATAAAATGCGTCACTTATTTTCATATTTTAGAATATTTAAATTCCAATTTTAAAATATTTAAATAAAAGGTATTCAGAAAATAAACATAGAATTGGAATTAAATAGAAAATACATTTTCTAGTCTTTCGATTGTAATTTTTTTATTGAATCATAAAGCACATAGGATGGTATATCCCATCAGGCGAATAACCTCCATGGCTTTACATACACATGCATACTCGTTTGTCGAAACTTTCCATGACCATTGTACATAAATTTGGGTGAATTTCATTGATGTAACGTTGAGT